TTACGAGTGTACATTATCTTAGAATTGAAGGTTCAAAAGTAATTTGACAATAAAATATTAGAAAAAAAAAATCAAGAAAGAACCTTCCTATATCAACTATTAGACTTGTGATGGGTGACCTACATGTTCTAACACATGCTTTCCTTCAATTTTTTTCTTTCTAATGCATAAATTTGCCCTTTAACATTTATGCAAGTTGTCTTATGTGATAAGGGACTAGACCCCTAACTTCGCCCCAAAAACAAGTCCGTAGAAGAAGGACTTGCCTTATGTGATAAGGAACTAGATCCCTAACTTCGCCTCAAAAACAAGTTCGTAGAAGAAGGACTGAATCCAGCCTTATACACTAGCCCAGGATGTACTCCGCTGGCAATGTGGGACGCATCATCCCCACCCCCATAAGATCCAATTGTCTCAGTCGGCGTTCTGACGAACCCCATGAGACACAGAACCTACGGAGCCAGAGCTCTGATACCAAATGATAAGGGACTGGATCCCCTAACTTCACCCCAAAAGTTAGCTCGTAGAGGAAGGACTGAACCCAGCTTTATACACTAGCCCAAGATGTACTTCGTGGGAGATGTGGGACGCATCATTATAGTACTCTCAAATTTGCAAAAGGCTTATTATGACTCTACACTTTCACGTTTCGATCATAATTATGTCACTCGCTAAAATAAAATATAAAGGTGTAGGGATATGATTAAACTCTTATAAAGTTATTTCATTTTGATGAGAGGTATATTATTAAAATGTAAAAGTGTACGGTTATAATAAATTCTTGCAAATATGAGAGTGACACAAGTCAAATCGCGTAAATCTCGGCAAATATATGAATTTAGCTTTTTATATATATATAATATATATATTATATATATTATATATTAATATATATATTCAATCAGGCCACATTCAAGAATGAAAACCTACCATAACAATAAAAATTTTTCTTTAGTGCATAGATAATCCAACCTTCACATGTGTCTCTAAATTGTTAAAAGATGGCCTAGTTCAATGCCTAGCAGATTTTCTATTGGTGAAATTTTTATGTTTAACAAAAATTACTATGCAAGGAGTGTTGGAATGAGTTGTTCGAACGAGCAAATACTCGCTAAGAGAGCACTTTATCCCTTGATAGGCTGACTCGGTGCTCATCAAATACTCGCTATAAGCACTTTATCCCTTAATGGGCCGACTCGATGTGAGCAGGATTTAATTTAAGTCTAATGGCCATTGCTCAAATAATAAGATGTCAAACATAATTTATTTGTCTTATAATATAACAACTCGGCGTTAAACCCTAAAACTTTTTGTCCTTCAAACAAATTCAACCCATTGAAAAAGGGAAAAGAAAAAGCAACACACATGTACAATCTAATTGGAGAGATGAAGCTAGCATTGGTGAGAAATGGAGAAATGCACTTCATTGATAGGGATAATTGAAAAGAAATGTGAAAGCAGCAGAAAAACTACCTTGAAGGAGAAGAAATAATAGTCAAGAAGTTTGGTGGAAGTGGAATAGGTTATTGCAGCTACTTTAGCAGGTTTTGTATTTATATTCTTTTTATAGATGATTTTAGGTTTGTGAGACAGGTTATTAAGGTAGTTTTGAAGCATTAATCAGTAGGTTAATTATAGTTAAGACTAAATAATGTTGTCAACTTGAGTACACCCTAGTTAGACTAAGTTATTTTTAAAAAAAAAATTCAATAACTTCTTCTCGTGATTTCCCATCTTTTGATACTGTTGTACATATCAAAGCCATGTCCTTGAATGGTAGGTCAAAAATTGAGTATACTAATCAGACAAGATGGATCATGTTCTAATGGTAAAAATGAGTTGGTAGATTCATAATCGGACAAGGGAAGGACAATTGAAGGTAAAATCATCATTGCTAAGCTCCAATGGGACACTAGAGAAAGAACAGTTCAGTACGAGCTCATAAGGGAACGAATGTTAAAAATTTGCTTAAATAAATTTATTGCAAGTTCAGACGACATAAACTTATTTATAAGTGAACATCGGAATTCATCTTTCACAAAAACCAATTGAATTATCATTGTATAGCAATGGAGGTCAAAATCAAGCCTTTCACTTTCCAGTGGTTCCATGTCTGTTGCTGAAAAACCTGCGATGATTAGGCAAACCACTGCAACTACAAAGGCTTTCTTTGGTTCATTTCTTGCTTTTTAATATTTTTTTCATAATTTTTTATTTTTCCTAGAAAAATAATATAACAAATTAATGGTATTATTATATGTGAGAAAAATAATATGCAATTATAATTATTTTATAATAAAAATTTATATTTTTATAAAAAATTGTTTAAAAATAACATAAATAACACCGAAAGGAAAATGTAAAACTTACATAATTAAAGCAGCTGCAATGAATAGGAAAGCACATGAGGTGAAATGATGGCAGATTCTAATGTGCCTAAAATAGTAGGAAATGCAAAACAGGAGATTTTTCATTTTAATCTTTGATTAGGCAATTAATTATCTTTTTCTCATATGTTGATTGTTGATGATGATGATGTAGATAGATGAGGTTAGTAATATGCATTATAAGCAATCAATTATTAATATTTAATAAGGGATTCCAACAAAATCTTTACCCTTACAATTATACAGCCTTGTCTTTCTCAAGTTGTGGATTTGATTCGCTTTTAAAATTGTTCTCTTAAATTCTTAATTAACGATTTACATTCTAATTATATTTTTTCTGTGATATCCTCACGCACTCTTTAGGTATGAGTAATTTTATTTTGAGAATCGTGACTATCTTTTCTCATAAGTGATTTTCACTAATTGTATTTTTGATCTTGTAGAAATTGTATGCTGAACTCAAATATGTTTTAGCACTTGAGTCACTCTTTAAGGATCGTTTTAATTACATTTTTCTAAAATAATTAGAAACCTTTATATGAATAAAACTTTTGAGCATTGTTTGATTATAATCTGTGCAAAATAGAATAACTATTTATCTTTTGGAACGATAGAAATCTTTTTTTTTTTCTCATCTTCTTTAAGAATTTCAAATGAAAAATACATACATTTATTTCACTTTGCAAATAGAACCAAAATGCGAATTGATGTTATCTCCAGGAATAACAAAGTATTGCTTAATTTATAGTATACTTTTTATTTACGATATAAAAGGCATATACACTTTAATGGATTTGGAAATGGGAACTGAAGGAAATATAAAGCCTGACTTGCTGAAATGTAAATGGAGTTCTCATGTGAAGCCTGTGCAGGTTAAAGCTATTTTTAAGCAACAGGAAAAAAAAAAATGGTTACCTTATATATCTATTTTTTAAGCAAAGGAAAAAAAAAAATGGTTACCTTATATATATAGTAATAATATATAATATATATATATAAGCCAAGACTCTGATTTATTGTACAAAGAAACGAAAAGTGATGCAAATCAACTATCGAAGCAATATATATATATATATATATATATAAGCAGACTCTGATTTATTTACAAAGAAAGAAAAGTGATGCATCAACTATCGACAGGGACGCTATATGAAAATTTATAGTTACTTACCATATAACAACTGCAACAAAATAGAGCAAAATCTTAGCAGGAATAGCAATTAAACAGTAACATTTGGTAAGAAAAGAAATAGAATTGGCAAATGGCAGACCTATCCAAATAAGAACAATTGCTTCAAATACAAGACAACAACCAAGTTCAACGAATCAACATTCAGCCTTCAGGTCAATTTCAATACTCATAATTTTTTAACCTCTTATTTGTTCTTGCTCAGATGGTTTCTCCCATATAATAGATGTTTCCAATTTTTAACATTCATATAATCTTTTTTTCCAAAAAAAACCCCTCATTGGTTGATTCAAATAAAGTTTCCAATTATTGGCTGGAACTCTAGTTGTTTTTTGATTTAAATGGTTTCCAATTATTGGTTTTGATTCAAATGGTTTTCAAATGTTGGGTGGTACTTTAACTGGAAAATATATTTTTTTTTCCCCCTTACATACTATGTAGAAGGAATATACTACAATCTGCAGCAATTCTGCAATTACAAATACACACCATAACTCATAAGAGGCAGAAATTATAATTAAAATCAGAAGTTCAAGAATGCTTGAAGCTGCAACCACCATAACTTTATACCATGTAAGTTCGACACAAAAGGCCAGTGGTAAAGCTCCAATACTCTTGCATTCTAATGCAACTCGTTTGCATTCTAAGCTCCAATACTCTTGCGTTCTAAATTCCAAGCTTATGACCACATTAACATACATTAGGAATACTAACAGAAACATCATTAAATATAGAGAGAACAAAATCCTATAACATTCCAATGTCTCAGACTTCTTTTTTTTTTTTTTTCCAATATTTCTTAATAGATGTCATCTGAATCATAAAATAGTTATTTCCATCAAAAAGTATTGTTCTCAGATTTTCTAGTCAAGATTAACAAGTACCAACATTATACTATACAGCAGTCTATAATTTATTTTTAAAAAGAACAATTGCAAGTCCAATATCATACAGACAAATCCAATGACTAGCTCTAGCAATGCAGCCCTAAAATTGTCCTATAGCCAATGCCCTTCCTATTGAAGATTTGGAATCATAATCTGTAGATGCTCACATTTCATCTCCAAGTTCTGGCCAAGCATTTTTTTTCCATCTATACAGCTACAAAACCCAGAAATTTAGCCACTCTAATGGCCTGTGAAGTTCAAATTCAGAAAACTCGTGACACAAGTATGATAGACCATCTCTTATTCTTCAACATGAATACTCATCTTACAAGCCACAATAAAAACAATTGCAAATAGTGAATAGTGAAAATGTTGCAGCATCTAGGTCTATAGTAATCTAATGCCCATATTCCCATAAGGGAAAAAACTCAAAGAAAAAGTAACTCAAAATCTACAGTCAACAGCAGGTCAGTCGCCAGTGTCAGTGTTATGAAATTGCAAACTAGTAGGTTAAAGCACCCATATAAACAACAAATATGAGAACATAGAATAAGCAACAAGAATAGACTTAGGAAATTAATTATCCTCAATGACTAATTCCAAACATTGTAACGGCAAAATATACTTCCATAATCAATAGAAGTTCAACGCGACATTAACTAAATATAACATTATATTAGTGTTCATGCAAAAAGAAACCACAAGTCCAATCATACTTGTCCATCGCTCTTGTGGAACAGGTGCTCATCCTTTAACGATACTGCAATGCAAAGGAATGAATACAGAGAATGAGATCCAATCACAAGAATCAACTGTAGCTGAATCATGGATGCAAATTGATTACAACAATTGAAAAATACCTTGATGAAGCCAATTTCCTTGGCATTGCTGCGGAAGCACTGTCTGCAACACATGAGCCCATACTTCCGGATCAGCCCATGAGGATTTCCACACACACGACTAACATAACAAGAAAACAGAAATCAGACTGGATGATTCTACGTTAAATATTTCATCTTCTTAACCATACAAACACATTTAAAAACTTGAAGCAAGTCAAACAAATAATTTACTAAAATTATCAGACTTCATAAACTAAATTAAGTTCAAAGAATGGTCAAACATTAGCAGATAAATAAGACCAGATGATAAGAGGTTATGTATGAGAAGCTTACAATAATATCCTTTCACAGATATTGAATGGAGATAACAAAACCCTCCCTTCATACCATTTAGTCTAACTAGGCTCTTCAGAAAATTGCATCATAAGGTCTAAAAAGGTTTTGCATCAGAAAATTGAACTGTTTCGGTCTAAATTGAAGCAAAGAAATTCAACTTACAGGCTTAATCGTATTTAGATACAACTGCTTGCTATTATTTTCCCTCTTGGTCAGTCTCATTATCAACCCATAGGCTACACACACAGACATTATCAACCCATAGGCTTCACACACAGACATTATCGACCAATTATAGAATGATTATTCTAATTTATTACTATTACTCTATTAAAATTTTTAGATAATACTAAAACATATAAATCACCCCAGATTAAGCTCCAAAACATTATAAATAATACACAGCCAACAACTATTAAATCATATAACCATGGAAGGCATCAGATAAAAAGCAAACGCATGCATGGGAGGAAAAAAAAAAAACTTTAGAACCAATAATCCAAAACAAGCATTTGAAAGCATCACAAAAAGGATAAACCTGTGGAAGCCCCTCATCAATACAATCGTAGGAAATACAAAAACCAATACAAGTCTATAGTTTCTTTAATTTTCCTGGGAAACAAACAGATCTAGAAAAAGAAAAAGAAACGAAGAAGCAGATGGTTTTGTACCAGGCACGAGAACCAGGGCCGTAGTTCTTTGGGTGAGAATTCCAGACGTTTGAGTGCCCCATGACTACACTGCAAGAATCAGACGATGTAGAGCAGCTCCAGAATGCAAAGGTTGAATTGTCACTGAAAAGCGAAGTACTTATAGGAACGTCCAAAACCCTAGCATTCAACTTAGCCCGGGTCGGGTATACGAATGTGGAACGGGTAGACGCTATACCGGTAACTATTCACAGTCGTGATTGAATCACTAACGTTTGTTTGGGTAAAAAAATGTAAGAAGAGGTAAGATACGTTTTTTTTGACATGAGGTAAGTTACTTTTATTTTCTCCTATTTCGCTTAGAAAAGGGAGAAAATGAAGGGTATTTTTTTTTTACTATTGTGTTCCTATATTTAGGGCTACACATGACCGATTTCAATCCGATTCAACATGTTGAATTTAATTCAATGGATTTGAAAATATAATGGATTGTATTGAATAAGTTATATTTATGATTTACGAGTTTGATAATTTTAAATATACATTATAGTAGGCATTGCCTTTTAAATTATTGCTTTTCACTTTAATAATAAACTTGTTTTAAAATATTGCTATTGAAGACGTAATGTAATATCGTGTTATTAAGTATTTTTAATTTTATTGATTATTATTTCTTATTAGAAAATTTAATTTTTTATTATTGTTGCTTCTTATTATTATTAAAAATTTATTTTGAAATGTTGTTATTGTAATATATTTTTATTTATGAAATTACTATATAATTATATTTTTAAATATATTTAATTTTATTGATAATTCATCTTTAATAATTATATTTTATTTAAAATTAATTCTATTATTTATCATTTATTTATCGTACAAATTTAGGTTAAATTTGTAAATCAACCCAACTTATTTACTCACCGATCATACATTTGATACGTTAAATTGGATTAAAAAATTTAGTAGTTCTTGCACACTGATCGAGTAATTTAAATTGATAAATTTGATCCACATACAATCCTATTGATATTATGTCAAAATTATTCATTTTATCTTTTTTTTTTTTTTGAAAATATACTAATCTATTGCTAATATTTGTTTCCATTTATTTTTTCTTACGAACACTGAATTTTTACAAAAGACGTATTATGTTATTCAAATTACAAAATTACACCTATTAAATATTATAATTTATAAAATTATTTCCTTCAACGCTTCATCTTATAAATTAAATTTAATGAAATACTTATTTAATAATTAAAAATTATAAAAATCATTATTTGAAAAATTATACTAACAACACATAATATCAATACTTTACATAAAAAAAAGATAAAAATCTTATAAGTTATTTCTAGTGTAGGGAGAGGCATAATATGTGCAAAATTCATGAATTTAATGGTACAATAGGTCTCTTACAATGTCTAATCTCCCACAACCCACATGATTAAAATTGTAAATTTATGTAATTAGCCGTAATTTTTCCATACAATATTGGACCAAATTTCTTCGGATCCATCGCTGCCTGGCACAGTGGCCCGATCCAGTTGAAGTGTGTACATGTAGATATGGAACGCAAGACGACGCCGTTCCTAACCTCTTGGAGCTACCGCAGCTGAACATCATTTCAGAGATTGTTTCAATGGCGAACGAAGCTTCTGGGTCTTCTTCTTCTCTTCCTTTGGTAAGAGAAAAAATAAAATTATATATATATATATATATACTTTTCTCTTCCTTTGGTAAGAGAAAAAATAAAATTATATATATATTATATATATATTATGGAGATTAGGTCTTAATTTTCAGAAATATAAAGGTTTTGGCGAATAATTCATGTATATATATATATATATATATATATGGAGATTAGGTTCTAATTTTCAGAAATATAAAGGTTTGCGAATAATTCATGTGTAGAAACGGGGATTTGAAGAGGAAGATGAGTTTATGATACTAGGTTCGGAGTCGGGTTGGGTCGAGGCTCGAACATCTTGCGATCATTTGGGTTCTTTATCATCCGATCTCTCTCACATTCCAACTCCTGATACTTCCTGCTACAGGTTATCTTTTGCTCTTCATCTTCTTATCTTGAAATTCGTTTGTTGTTTCTGGGTATTTACTTGAATTAGACATTATATTTGATTCGATAAGATTTTAGGGTTTAATTTAGTCTTTGTTTGTTTGAGGAAATAGAATAGAAATGAATTAGCTATTCTTAAGTTATTGTGCAATTTGCATTTTCTACAGAAGTGTTAACCTACATTTGTATAATTTATAAACTTAATTATTTAACCAAAGTTGATATAGCTATTTCAATGTATAGTAGCTGTACTTTGCCTAATGCCCTTAACAATGTTTCGTATAAATTAATTCCACAAAATTTTCTGGAATTTATGTAGACCTTCACGTTTTCATGCTTGGTATAAATGAATTTGTTCATTCCACTTCAAAGAACTAAATATTATGAAGGTCAACGTAGTGAAATCAAATTTCATCATTTGTAATTAGATTCTATATTTCTAGTTTAATTATATCGAACAAGGGTTAAAGGTCTAATCTTTTTGCTGCTAGGCTTTATTGGATTTGCAGAATATGATAGAACAGAAATGAAAATTACTATCCTTTACTTGTGCATGTTATTTTATGGTGTAGTTATTTTTCATTATAGTTATGTATCATGATCAATGAACTTCTATTCTGTATTTATGTTCTCGTATTTTTCTACATATGTCGTTTTATTAACCAAACAGAGTCCTGAATTTCTTTCTGGCGAATTAGATTCTATATTTTCAGATTCTATATTTTCGCTAATCCAAGGAGCAACTTATTTTCTCAGATGCCATCATCCGAATGAAAACTGGGTGTGCTTGTCATGCAAGGATGTACTTTGCAGTCGTTTTGTGAATAAACACATGCTACAACATTATCAGCAAATGAACCATTGTGTTGCTCTCAGCTATAGGTATTTATTGAAACTCTTTTCTTCTTTTGAAATTGATCTTTTTGTTTTGGATTTGCAGGTTCGAGTTTATTAACATATTAGTTATTTTAATTTTGAAAAACAGTGATCTTTCAGTTTGGTGTTTTGCCTGTGATGCATATCTAGACGCCCAAGTAATTGTGCAGCTGAGAACTGTGTATGAGACTGCTTACATCTTGAAATTTGGCGAGGCACCTCCATTTCGCACTGTTGAATACTCACAAGATAGTAAATCATCTAATAATTAGCTTCAATTGGCATGCCTCGCCTATGGCTAATTGCAGATGAAAGTTGTGGATATATCCAAACTCTCTCAGAAGAAAAAACTTTAACATATTACATTTGTGTTTTTCATTTTTTTTTTAACATTTTACTTTATTTTTAGGCTACTTTGTGGGTTGGAGAGGGAGAGGCCGAATTCGAATTGTTTTCATTTACTGAAAACTTGAATCCAAAATGTGAAAATAGAAGTTTTGCTGATAGCTTGATACAAGTGGGTACATGGTTGTTTTTGTTTGCGAGGGATTTGATTTGTCTTGTTTGCCTCTCAAACATCTATTGAAATATGCAAAAACTGTCCATAGTTGTAGTTATTTAAATGACAAAATTTGTTTTATTCCCATTGGATTTCATATTAATGAGAATAAAATCAACATTTTTTTCAAATCAAGCATGAAAACATGAAATTTTAGAAGAAACGGCTCAGATCGGCAATACCAGTTATTATAGTAGTTGTCTCTCCCAATCTATCCAAATACTAATATAAATATACTTTTGTAAATAACTAATATAAATATTATGCCACCAAAATAACTCTGATAACAGAGATGGTGTTTGAGCACAATTAAAACACTAAACGCTAGCATGGTTTGACAAGAACACACGAAAATTGTTTTCAATTCATCCAAACATTATCAGAAACTTCTATGCCAACTACCCTAACGGTAAATAAAACTAATGAAGAAGAGGGAAACATAATGACAATATTTTGTTTCTATTTGGCAACTGTATAGCATGCATTTCTTGATTCTCTGAAAGGTTTAAAAGATAATTCGTATAACTAGTGAAATCATAAGTTAGACCAATAAAATCAATCGTGTTTTCTATATTCATATACAAATAAACCAATAGATCATAACATGATTTTCTTTTTCCTATCCAATTTTTATTTTCTATGCATCACACGTGCTAATCTGCAGTAAAATTTGTTGTGGTTCCTTGAAGATCACATGCTCTTTGCTCACATTCTAGTTTGCCCCACCTTGCATCAACTCGTTCACAGGGAAATATCAGCTTGCCAAGGCTGTCAGAAATCACTCAAATGTTAACAAGACGATAAATAAATTTTGCTTCAGACAGTGAAACTGATAGCTGTCTTAAATATTAGAAATGCATGTATATGTATGTAAATTTCGGATGAAGTGGAGCAATCAAAGCATATAAACAAATCTAAATCTCTGTTAGATTCTATCATACGAAGATAATTGCCAAAAGAAAAAGGAACAATTAGGGGTCAGTAATTTAACCGTCCATTTCGATGATCAATTTGGATAAAAAGGGTAAAAGCAGCTCAACTTTTTTTGACCTAGTTATTGTGGTAAGTGAAACAAATTCTGATTCTGGTCCATGCTGTGTAAACCAAGTATAATTAACAACTTTAGGATTTGGTTAGATTACCATGAGCATCAACTACTTTAAACAATTACTTGGTTGTTCTCTATTTTGTAAAATAAAACCATAAAATTGAGCAATTAAAACCTAAAAGAATTACAATGCATCGGCAAAAAACTGCAGGCTTACCTTCTGTTAACTATGTTATGAACATGGCATAACCATAATGAGAATTCAGTATGAGATCCAGCTTGTACAGGATTCACTCTGTGAAACATGAAAATGAAGCCATAAGCAATGGAAATAGTATGGGGAACTTGATAACCTATTAATATTTAATAATAACTTCCACTTTACATTGTAAATTTGTGATGGAGAAAATGAACACAAAGAATTGTCCACTGTAGTGAAGTGCTGAGATAGAAGGAAATTTTCATATCTTTTCACATTGTATGATTCTAAACTTCCTAGAGAAGGAGAATTGTGAAACTTAGAACACTCATCTTATGGATCATGCAAATTCAAGTGCAATTCATTTAAAGATATCTCAGTGTGCAACTCAACTAACTGTAATCTCAAGCTAGTCAATGTTGCTTTGCTACTATAATTCTTTTTCTTCATTCTGCTTTATTAAGGGTAAAAATTTATAAGAGATCCAGAAAGTGGCTCCTAATATTTTATCTAAAGCGCAATAAGAATTTTCTTTCTTTCATGTGTGTGAGTGCCTTTGCTTTGCAGAAATAATACTTGGTTTGCATTCCATTTACCAACAATCCTCTGAAACAACAGATCCAATACGTAACTCAGCAAAAGGGAGGAATGTAGAAGAATAAAGCATACCTCAAAACTTCCTTAAAGTGGTCTGCACATTCCCTGCAAGGGTACATACGAGATAATATTGCCATCTGCACAATAAAGCAGTATAGCCTCTCTTAGTTAGTTGATCTTAATGGTTGGGATATCTAGTTTCAGTTCCCATTACTGATTGACCTATCAGCAAGTAGGTGCAACATAACAGAAAGCTTGATACTGCACACACCAAAGGTAAGAGAGTATCATACCAATTCTTTCACATCTTTCTTCTGTTGTCTGGTTGGATTTTCTGGATACTGGAACAGAACAAAATTGTTAAAAAAAACTATTATTGTATGATCAAGAATATAGTTAGTAGATTAAGAAAAAAAAATCCATGATTTAAGGGTCAAAGTTAGTTGCCATACTCTGAAAACCCGAAATTCTTAGAAAGAGACTTTGAGTTTGTAAATTGATATAGAGAATGAAGAAAAAGCTCAATGAAATTTTATTAGCTGGTTCTTTTTAGCCAATAGAAGAAAACAGGATAACGGCTTAAGTTCAAACGGTTGATTTTTTTCCCCCTTATAATATAGGAAAAACAATTTAATCAATTAATACAAGTCATCAATGATAATAACCTGAGCAGCAAGTGTGTGAAGGAAAGTCCAAGTAGCTCTTCCAAGCTCCTCTTTAGTCACAGGTCCAGTAGATTTTCCCTGAAGAAATGGATAATAAAAAAAGTTTAATCAAGCATAAAATTTTTATATAAAAATAAATATTATAATTAGTACCAAACACACTAAATGCCATTATACATCACCCTCTATCCACTTCATATCATTCAAAAATCATTTACTTAAGGACTAGAAACCAAAAAAAAAAAAAAAAAATATTTACCTCAACCCTCTATCCACTTATATCCATTCAAAAATCATTTACATTAAGACTAGAAACCAAAAAAAAAAAAAAAAAAAAAGACACCGTTCACACTAAAACTCTTTCTATTTAGCTTAATTTTTCATCTTCACGTTTTTGGTTTAAAATGGTTAAAAGAAGGAAAAGCAAAGGAGGAGAAATTAGATTATTATTATGTTTTTCTTTTTTATTTGTTCAAGTTACTGAAAATGTAATGCTCATTTTTAATTAAAACTTATAAAAAAAAAAAAAAAAAAGACACCGTCACATCTAAAACTCTTTCTATTAGCTATTTTTCATCTTCGTTGTTGGTAGAAATGGTTAAAAAGAAGGAAAAGCAAAGGAGGAGAAATCAGATTATTATTATGTTTTTCTTTTCTATTGTCAAGTTACTGAAAATGTAATGCTCATTTTAATAAAACTATATAACAACAATAAATATATTGTGCTTTGACATTCTCTTTAATTAAGAAAAATAGAAAATATGAATTTGCTTAAGATTCACCATTCAGGAATTTTATCAAACAGGTTCTGAGCTTACTCTATCTATGCAATTTGAACCCTTAAAGAAAATGCAATGAAGTTTATTACTGAAACTCAAATTCTAATTCAGTGCATATTGAATGATTTTGCAACAAGAGATATCGAGTGAATCCACCTTATTGAGAATGTCTTTGGGTTGAAGAGGGGAAGTATCTGTGTTTGGCGGGTTTACTTTAGATGATGAGGAGGAGATGGAGAAGAGAGGGGTTTTGCTAGAGAGTGATTGGTGGGGAGATTGGCCTGTGAAATTGAAGAGATGGGTTTGGATACAATTTGAGAGTTTCTGTGAGGTTTGGAAGAGAGACTGCAACGGACTATCGGACATTTTTCTCTTGTGACGGAGAAAGATAGAGATTGGCGGGAAAAGAGAATGTACAGATATATGCTATTGCTTGTGATTATTTTATTTTAGGAATAAGGCTAAATTTGCTTTCTAATTTGTTAGTAATGCATGTTCAAAAATTAATTTTTTATATAATTTACTTTCTGAATTTGTACCAAAAAAAATAAAAAATACATTTTAAAAAAATAAATTTTAATATTTTTAATTAATAAAAATATTTAAAAAGTTTAAACTCAGGAAATAGAAAATTTATTTAAAAATACAATAATTATAAAAATAATCATTTAAAAAATCACAAGATGATAATAATATTGATTATATTGAATATTTGGTTTGATAAATATTTATTATTTATTATTTAATTTTTTTATTTTAATAAATATTTATTATTTTTTAATTATGTTTGATGTAAATCAATTTTTTTTTTTTTTTTAGAGAATAGACTTTTTATTTTTTTGTGTAAATTCAATGGCTAAATTGTATAGAAATTTAAGTTTTAGACAAATTATACATTGTTTTCGAGTTCCGGAGTCAAATTTAGTCTTATCCCTCTTATTTCATTGTGACAACGTTTTCTTTAATTTATTTTAAAATTTTCACACAACATAATAAGGTTTATAATTTTTTGTTCAAAAACTCTTGCGATCGAGATCGAAAATATTCGAATCTAAGATTATTTTAATTAACTTATATGTGAAAAGAATTTTAAAGTTAAATTATAAGTTACTGTTTTTAGATTTTCAAGTTAAACTAAATTATTTTATATATAAACTAAATTAAAGTAAATTGAAACTATACAATTCAATTAGGTTTTTAGAACAATTTTAGTTGATAAATCAATTTATTTAAATATAGTTACTATATTATTTTAAAATTATTTGTTATCTATTAATTTTTCATTTTTTAAAATTTCATTATTAAAATTATCCTATACATTATGTATATTTCTTTATCAGTTCCAATGTTTACATTTTACTCCGTCCCAGAATTATAATTCATTTTCTTTTTTAAATATCCCGAAATAATAGTCTCATTTACATTTTTTAAAATATTTTCATTTTCATTTTTCCACAATATCCTTATATAATAACTCATGTAAATAATTAATATTAATTGAATTTACTTAGATAATGGAGAAAAGTCTTAAAATAATTAATTTTGAAATCTTGATATACTAAACATTAATCCTAATTTAAAAGTTTCAATGAATTATTAATATACAATCTTTTAGAGCCTTTAGGGTATTGTACAAAAAATTGAAAAAAAATTATATTTAAACTAATTTAACTAATTTTTTAAAACTGTGTGAGAAATATTTAGAACTATATTTCGAAACAGATGAAGTATGATATTTTTAAATTCCATCAAATTCCAAATGAAATGATATTCTCAATAAAAAAATATTAATTTTTTAATTATTCAAATTGTTTGTTGTTTGTCTGTCTTCATTTTATGTGAAGCTTTTGACAATTTGTTTTTTTGACAAGTGTGCAATATATGTTTTGCAGATTTTGAATTTCTTCTTTTGAAATCAGCATAAACAATAAGTCGATGAATAATTTACTTAATTGGGATAGGTGGAAAAAAATCTAAAGAGTTTGTAAAATCCAACTATCTTATCAAACTCATCATTATTTTGTTAACATAATCCAACTATCTTAAGGAACCCAATTTGATTATCTTAATTAATACAAATTTAATTTCACCTTAAAAGCCCATTTGGAACATATAAATTCCACAAAATTTTGTAAAATTCATTTGAAAATATAAAATTTTGTGTTTGGAATGAAAAAAAAAATATAAATTTGAATTTTACGAATTGAATTCTATAGAATTGGATATACCTAACTCGAATTCTACTAAAATTGAATTCTACAAAATTGATCATTAAAGTGTTTATTGATAAAATTACCCTTCATTATAAACTCAACTATTTTTACTTTTTTTTTTCTTTTTGTTTATTTTTTTAATCCAATAGTGATGTTAGTTTATATTTTTATTTTTTTTAGAAAAATTTCAAGCCAGTAATGAAATTTATTTTTCTTTTTAAAGTCTAATAATAACGTTGATTAATATTACTGTGAAACTATAAAAACTGAGTATCAACAATTGTTTTCAAATATAATTTTTTTTTAAAAAAAAAAATCTAAAAATGGCTTTATTTATTAATTAATCAAATCGAAAGCCAATACATCAGAAATAAAAGATGGATGGTTAAACTCCCAATTCACTAAACCAAACAAAAAAAAAACAAATGCTCGAGCTAACGAATGAGCTACCTGGTTCGCTAGTTTTTTAACAAAAGACAAAAAATGATGAAAACTCATTTAAGAGAGTTTTACAATCACGAAGAATGGAACTAAAATAAGAAACGTAATGAGAAACACTTTGGTAAGGCTTGGACCAGTAGCTAACAAAACAAATGCTCGAGCTAACGAATGAGCTACTTGGTTTGCTAGTTTTTAACAAAAGACACAGAAAATGATGAAAACTCATTTAAGAGAGTTTTACAATCATGAAGAATGGAACTAAAATAAAAAATGTAATGAGAAACACTTCGAAAAGCTTGGACCAGTAGCTGACAATCCAACTTAATATCAATTCCCATTATCCAATCCCTCCTTTTTAACCAACTTAATGCTTCTCTACAATCCAAAGTTTCTGCAATCAAGGCATTAGCCATGGAACCCAAGGCTATCATCCCACCTCCCATACAAGCACCTGCATGATCTCTTAAGATCCAATCACACCCAGCAGACCCTGACTTTAACAGGAAAGCTGCATAAACATTTAAATTGAGTCTATTAGCGATAGAAGGGAATTGTTTCAACACAGTAGGTTGATGAACATGACCTCGCAACTGTAAAACTTGACCAGCCTGAGTTTTTATCCGCTCATGCCTAAATTGCATTGCCCTTTTTAAAACCACTACTTCACTAGGTGAACTGTGATGCCAAATCCTTTGGTTCCGTTGCCACCATAACTCCCAACCTATGTGAAAGATTATAGCTTCATCATCTAAAGAGCTTTTTTGAAACACCATTAAAAATCAATTAGCCACATTCTCCATAACACCCCACCATCCAATACAACTTCTCCTCCATACTGATTGAGCAAAATCATAGTTATATAAAGAATGAATGATAGATTCTGCCTCACGATCATAGGTGGGGCAAATGACATCAACCTTTATATGGCGAGCAGCCAGATTTGAACAAACATGAAGGACATTTGACATGGCACGCCAGATAAAATTAGAGATTTTTCTTAGAACATCCACTTTTCATAATTCACAGCCAAATATCCTGATTATTTTGAGCAGCAGCTAGTTGAGTGAACTTGAGAAAACGTTAATTGGCTCTTAACAGTGTATATCCCTTTAAATTCAAAAGACCATAGCCAAGAGTCATTATGGACCAAAACTGATAAATGAATTTTTAGAATGGCAACTGCCTCCTCCTCAAAATCCCATGCTTTCCTGCCATGCAGAAACAAATTAGAGACTTTAATATCTTTAATTCCAGAATTGTTACCTGATGAGACTTTGAACTGAGGAAGATTTGGAGCCCATGGGTTAGAAAAAATTGATATATCTTTACCGTCACCAACACAAAAAAGAAGACCCATTTTCAGCAGTGCTTGAGTAGCTAGAATACTGGACCAACTACAGCTTGGATTATTTCCTCTTCCTGCTGCTAAGAAACAAGTATCTCTAAAGTATCGAGCTTTATAAACCTTAGAAACAAAAGTGGAGGGATCATTAATAAAACACCAACTTTGCTAAGCTAGTAAAGCTAAGTTAAATTCTCGTATAGTTCGAAAACCATGACCCCCTTCTAATTTTGACTTTCACAAAGCCTTCACAACAAGCCAATGAACCCCAAAACTAGAATCTGTACCTCCCTGCCACCAAAAGTTTTTCATAGCCTTTTCTATTGTATCACAAATACCCATAGGTAACAAAAACTCGACATAAGATAGTTCGAGATAGCTTGAATAACTATCTTGATTAGCACCTCTTTCCCTGCTCGACTTAGTGACTTTCTCTTCCACCCATTTAAATGAGTTCAGATTTTATCAAGAACAAAATTAAATACCTCTTTGTTGTTATGACCCGCTCCCAGTAATTGATGAATAGTGCACTGATCTCTTTGAGCCGTATTGGGGCTAAAATAAATTTCTGATTTACTGTAATTTTCAAGCTATCCTGAAGCTTGTTGTTACAGTGTCAAACAATGCTTGATCATATAAGCTTCAACAGTGTTGGCTTTGAAGAAAAATAAGGCGTCATTGGCAAAAAATAGATGTGAGACCATAGGAGCCCCACGACCTATCCTACAGCCATGTAGTTGACCCCTTAACTGAAAGGAGGATAGAAGGGCCGAAAGAGCCTCAGCACACAATATGAAAAGGTAAGGTGACAATGGGTCATCTTGTTGTAATTTGTGCTCTGGCAACACTGGACCAAAACTATGACCATCATGGTAAAAACCATAGGAAATCAAAGTAACTACAACCATGATTCTTTCCACCCAAGCCTGACAAGAACCCATCTTTAACATCAAATCTTTCAAAACACCCCACTCAGCTCGATCATACGCCTTGCTCATATCCTTTTTTAACGACACATATCTTGTCTTTCCACTATTCTTCCTTTTGAGCGAGTGCATTAATCAAAAGCGATCATTATGTTATCTGTGATAAAATGACTTGGCACAAAGGCACTTTACAATTTCGAGACACCGTTGATAAACAAGCCTTCATACGGTTAGCTAATGCCTTATAAACAAACTTGTCAATAACATTGCATAAAGAAATTGGCCTTAAATCAGATACAAGTTCAGGGTCCTTTTTCGGAATTAAAACAACAGTAGTCTGATTATTCCCTGGTAGAGACTGACCCGAAATTCAAACAAGCAAGGCAAGCAGAACTAACCTCATCTTTAACAATATCCTAGTACTGTTGATAGAAAGGCGGATTAAACCCATCAGACCAAGGGCTTTATCTGAATGCATACTGAAGACAGCCTCTTGAATCTCGT